GTGAGATCTTCCGGGCACTGAATGAAAATAACTTCAACCCCAGGATACTCTACCCAGCAAAGCTATCATTCAAAATAGATGGAGCAATAAAAGTCTTCCATGATAAGCAGAAACTAAAACAATATGTGACCACAAAGCCACCATTACAAAAGATTCTGCAAGGGATCCTGCACACAGAAAGTGACACCCAACTTAACCATGAAAAGGCAGGCAGCACCAAACCACAGGATAAGAAAAAGCAAGACAGTAGAGAGTAACATCAAGTTAGGTACACACAATCAAACCTTCAAACAACTAAGATAACTAAATGGCAGGAATCACCACATACCTATCAGTACTAACACTTAATGTTAATGGACTTAATTCACCCATCAAAAGACACCGTTTGACAAAATGGATTAAAAAAGAAGATCCAACAATTTGTTGCTTACAGGAGACTCATCTCACCGACAGAAATAAGCATATGCTTAGGATGAAAGGCTGGAAGAAGATTTACCAAGCCAATGGCCCCCGAAAACAAGCAGGAGTAGCAATACTTATCTCTGACAAAGTAGACTTCAAACCTACATTGATCAAACGAGATAAAGAAGGACATTCCATACTAATAAAAGGGGAAATAGACCAAAAGGAAATAATAATCATCAATCTGTACGCACCCAATGTCAACGCACCCAATTTCATCAAACATACCCTGAAAGACCTAAAAGCATATATAAACGCCAACACAGTGGTTGTGGGAGACTTTAACACTCCATTATCATCAATAGATAGGTCATCCAAACAAAAACTCAATAAAGAAATCCAAGATCTAAAATATGCAATAGATCAAGTGGACCTAGTAGATGTCTACAGAACATTTCATCCAACCTCTACACAATATACATTCTTCTCAGCAGCCCATGGAACCTTCTCCAAAATAGATCATATCCTAGGGCACAAAGCAAGCCTCAGCAAATATAAGAAAATAGAAATAATACCATGCATACTATCTGACCACAATGCAGTAAAAGTAGAACTCAACAACAAAAGTAAAGACAAAAAACATGCAAACAGCTGGAAACTAAATAACTCATTACTTAATGAAGAATGGATCATCGATGCAATAAAAGAGGAAATTAAAAAGTTCCTGGAAGTCAATGAAAATGAAAACACAACCTACCGGAACCTATGGGACACAGCTAAGGCAGTCTTGAGAGGAAAGTTTATAGCCATGAGTGCATATATTAAAAAGATTGAAAGATCCCAAATCAATGACCTAATGATACATCTCAAACTCCTAGAAAAACAAGAACAAGCAAATCCCAAAACAAATAGAAGGAGAGAAATAATAAAAATAAGAGCTGAAATCAACGAAATAGAAACCAAAAAAACCATACAAAGAATTAATGAAACAAAAAGTTGGTTCTTTGAAAAAATAAACAAGATCGATAGACCCCTGGCAAACCTGACTAAAATGAGGAGAGAAAAAACCCAAATTAGTAGAATTAGGAATGCAAAAGGGGAGATAACAACAAACACCATGGAAGTCCAGGAAATCATCAGAGACTACTTTGAGAACCTATATTCAAATAAATTTGAAAATCTTAAAGAAATGGACAGATTTCTAGATACATATGATCATCCAAAACTGAACCAAGAGGAAATTAATCACCTGAATAGACCTATAACACAAAATGAAATTGAAGCAGCAATCAAGAGTCTCCCCAAAAAGAAAAGTCCAGGACCTGATGGATTCTCTGCTGAATTCTATCAGACCTTTAAAGAACTGATACCAACCCTCCTTAAACTGTTCCATGAAATAGAAAGGGAAGGAAAACTGCCAAACACATTTTATGAAGCCAGTATTACACTTATCCCAAAACCAGGCAAAGACACCTCCAAAAAGGAAACTATAGGCCAATCTCCTTAATGAACATTGATGCAAAAATCCTCAACAAAATAATGGCAAACGAATTCAGCAACACATCAAAAAGATTATTCACCACGACAGTAGGCTTCATCCCAGGGATGCAGGGGTGGTTCAACATACGAAAATCAATAAACGTAATAAACCACATTAACAGAAGCAAAGACAAAAACCACTTGATCATCTCAATAGATGCAGAAAAAGCCTTTGATAAGATCCAACATCATTTCATGATAAAAGCTCTAAGAAAACTAGGAATAGAAGGAAAGTTCCTCAACATTATAAAAGCTATATATGACAAACCTACAGCCAGCATTATACTTAACGGAGAAAAACTGAAACCATTCCCTCTAAAATCAGGAACCAGACAAGGATGCCCACTATCTCCACTCCTATTCAACATAGTACTGGAATTCCTAGCCAGAGCAATTAGGCAAGAAGAAGGAATAAAAGGAATACAAATAGGTAAAGAAACTGTCAAAATATCCCTATTTGCAGACGACATGATCCTATACCTTAAAGACCCAAAAAACTCTACTCAGAAGCTTCTAGACATCATCAATAGCTATAGCAAGGTAGCAGGATATAAAATCAACATAGAAAAATCATTAGCATTTCTATACACTAACAATGAGCAAACGGAAAAAGAATGTATGAAAAAATTCCATTTACAATAGCCTCAAAAAAAATCAAATACCTAGGTGTAAACCTAACAAAAGATGTGAAAGACCTCTACAAGGAAAACTATACACTTCTGAAGAAAGAGATTGAGGAAGACTATAGAAAGTGGAGAGATCTCCCATGCTCATGGATTGGTAGAATCAACATAGTAAAAATGTCGATACTCCCAAAGTAATCTACATGTTTAATGCAATTCCCATCAAAATTCCAATGACATTCATTAAAGAGATTGAAAAATCTACTGTTAAATTTATATGGAAACACAAGAGGCCACGAATAGCCAAGGCAATACTCAGTCAAAAGAACAATGCAGGAGGTATCACAATACCTGACTTCAAACTATATTACAAAGCAATAACAATAAAAACAGCATGGTACTGGCACAAAACAGACATGAAGACCAGTGGAACAGAATAGAGGATCCAGATATGAAGCCACACAACTATGAGCAACTTATCTTTGACAAAGGAGCTAAAAATATACGATGGAGAAATAGCAGCCTCTTCAACAAAAACTGCTGGGAAAACTGGTTAGCAGTCTGCAAAAAACTGAAACTAGATCCATGTATATCACCCTATACCAAGATTAACTCAAAATGGATCAAGGATCTTAATATCAGACCCCAAACTCTAAGTTGATACAGAAAGAGTAGGAAATACTCTGGAGTTAGTAGGTATAGGTAAGAACTTTCTCAATGAAACCCCAGCAGCACAGCAACTAAGAGATAGCATAGATAAATGGGACCTCATAAAACTAAAAAGCTTCTGTTCATCAAAAGAAATGGTCTCTAAACTGAAGAGAACACCCACAGAGTGGGAGAAAATATTTGCCAATATACATCAGACAAAGGACTGATAACCAGAATATACAGGGAACTTAAAAAACTAAATTCTCCCAAAACTAATGAACCAATAAAAATGGGCAGTGAACTAAACAGAACTTTCTCAAAAGAAGAAATTCAAATGGCCAGAAAACACATGAAAAAATGCTCACCATCTCTAGCAATAAAGGAAATGCAAATTAAAACCACACTAAGATTCCACCTCACCCTGTTAGAATAGCCATCATCAGCAACACCACCAACAACAGGTTTGGCGAGGATGCGGGGAAAAAGGAACCCTCTTACACTGTTGGTGGAATGTAGACTAGTACAACCACTCTGGAAAAAATTTGGAGGCTACTTAAAAAGCTGGACATCGATCTACCATTTGATCCAGCAATACCACTCTTGGGATATACCCAAAAGACTGTTACTCCAGAGGCACCTGCACATCCATGTTTATTGCGGCACTATTCACAATAGCCAAGTTATGGAAACAGCCAAGATGCCCCACCACTGACGAATGGATTAAGAAAATGTGGTATCTATACACAATGGAATTTTATGCAGCCATGAAGAAGAACGAAATGTTATCATTCGCTGGTAAATGGATGGAATTGGAGAACATCATTCTGAGTGAGGTTAGCCTGGCCAAAAGACCAAAAATCGTATGTTCTCCCTCATATGTGGGACATTAGATCAAGGGCAAACACAACAAGGGGATTGGACTATGAGCACATGATAAAAGCGAGAGCACACAAGGGAGGGTGAGGATAGGTAAGACACCTAAAAAACTAGCTAGCATTTGTTGCCCTTAATGCAGAGAAACTAAAGCAGATACCTTAAAGCAACTGAGGCCAATAGGAAAGGGGACCAGGAACTAGAGAAAAGGTTAGATCAAAAAGAATTAACCTAGAAGGTAACACCCACGCACAGGAAATCAATGTGAGTCAATGCCCTGTATAGCTATCCTTATCTCAACCAGCAAAACCCCTTGTTCCTTCCTATTATTGCTTATACTCTCTCTACAACAAAATTAGAGATAAGGGCAAAATAGTTTCTGCTGGGTATTGAGGGGGGGGAGGGGGGGTGGAGTGGGTGGTAAGGGAGGGGTGGGGCAGGGGGAGAAATGAACCAAGCCTTGTATGCACATATGAATAATAAAAGAAAAATGAAAAAAATAAAAAAAAAAAAATAAATAAAAAAAAAAATAAACCAAAAAAAAAATAAAATATATTCAAATTATACAATGGACTTTAAAAAATAAACATAGACATTTCTCAGAGCTAAATTAGGCCATACAAACTAATAGAAATGTAGATTCTTATTTCAGATAAATTAAGGGTGGAGGCAATAAACGAGATGAGGAAGGTGACATGTTTTAGACTCTGTGCTATTTTCTCCCTAAAATACATAAACTTCTGAGAAGAAATCCAGTCCATAGCTATTAACTCCCACAAGCAGCTAATACCTCTAAGCATAAAAGTCATAAATCTCAGCAATTTCTCCTTTCTTCCCAAGATGAACTGTTTACACTACATGTAGTGAGTCATTTCCAGCGCGCAGGTATTAGAACATGGTCCTCATACTCACACGTGGCAGATACTTATATGGTGGAGCATAATCTTCACGGTACGTTGTCAATGTCCACCTAAAAGGGAAAAGTCAATATTGACTTGGAAAAGAAAGACATTTAAAACTTTCAGTGGTATGTACTTTAATGTAAAAACATTTCAGGAAGAACTGGCCCTAATAAAATGTTTAAGCCTCACAAATGTCCTGTGCCATTTGTAATGTCACTCACTATCAACAGGGACCCCTCCTTTAGTTATTTCCAATTCCCCACAACCTACTGTTCTCCGGTACTAATGACATTTGTGGTTACCAAGTCCTATGTCCCTGAGCTCTGTGTTCTGCATTCCAAGAATTCTCTTTATCACCCTTTTTCTGCCTCTGAAAACTTTTTGACCCTAAATGTCCCACGTTGTCTGCTAGATGATAGCTGAGGAGACAGACAGTAGAAGACAACTAGATAGGCTGAGATCATAGTCCCCAGACCCCACCTCATTAAACCCATAGAAATGCTGATTGAAGCATACATGCCCTACCCAAGTGTACAAGCTTAGCCAAGCTCAAAAGGCAAACCCTTGGGTGTTGGGAATGAAAAGAACACTCACTGTAACAGGAAATCATAAAAGTTGATGCCTAAGCCTAGAGTATAGAGTTTTAATTATATCTCAAGTACCAGAGAAATGGCCTTAGGTTCAGTGGACTTCCACTTAAAAGAGACCAGTGAAAACCCAAACTACCAGCCCAGAGAAATTTGAAGAAGTTTGTCTCTATTTACAGCTTAGGGCAAAAGAAAAGTTATTCTCCTATGAGAAATTAAACCTTGCTTCTATTCCTGGCAATATTAGAGGAGTAGATGATCAAAGAAATCATCTAGTTTCTTTGGAAAGAGAATTCAACAACAATCCCAAAATAATAACAAAGTCCAACTCAGGCAGGCTATTGGGTACAGGTGCTAGTATTTAGCCTGATGGTAGCCACCAATTCCTGACAGCTCTCAAGGTGTGGTTTCCAGAGAAGCAGCAGCAGTACCTGGGAACTTGATAGAAATGCAAGTTCAGCCATCCCTGAGTTTTAGAGGGAGACTGGTTCCAGAAATCAAGAAGATTCCAAACTCTATGGCTGATCAAGTCCCATATGTAAAATATTGAGCTATCTGCCTACATTCTATGCACATCCTCCACTATACTGCAAGTCATCTCCAGATACCTGTAATGCCCAATATAATACTTCCAATACCTAATATGCAAGTGGCATATAAATAGTTCTTACACATATTGTTTAGTGAATAATGACAAGGAAAAAAAAAGATTGCAAATGTTTAGCACACTTTTATTTTGAAGTATTTTCAATCTGTGGTTGGTTGAATCCACAAATGTGAAATCATGGATATGAGGGGCTGAATGAATTTGAATCCTACCCCAAACCTACTGAATTAGGTGGGGCTCAGCATGCTTTTGTTTAATGATCCCTCCAGGTGATTCTGATGCACACTACAGTTTGAATAATGATGATCAAAAGAACAAAAATCAAGTGTAAATTCTAAACCAGTAAATTGGATTTGAAAGAGAGAGAGGTGAGACCAATCTTATAGAAAGGAGAATAAAAGGAATAGGAAAAAAATGATTTCTGCTTTTAAGTAAGACAAACTAAAAATTGTAACATTAAATATCTTAGCCATCACAAGAACAGTAAAGGGGTTAAACTCTGAAAATATTTTCTTAGACTTACACTGAACACCAAACTGCATTTCTAAAATGTCCATCTTAAAATTATTTTCTAATACTCTAATACTCTGAAAATAAATGTATATATTCAACAAATATTAATCAAGAAAATTTTTTCTTATATTAATAGCATATATAAAAAACTGAGCCAAAATTACCAGTTATAGAGATGATTAAGTACTGGCTAAAGGAAAAAAGTCACCAGAAAGATATATAACAATCCCAAATTGATAAACTTCACAATATATAGAATACAGCTGGGTACTGGTAGCTCACACCTGTAATCCTAGCTACTTAGGAGGCAGAGATCTGGAGGATTACCGTTCAAAGCTGCCTGAGGCAAATAGTTCCCAAGAATCTATCTCAAAAAACCCATCACAAAAAAAGGGCTTGCAGAGTAACTCAAGTGGTCAGAGTACCTGCCTAGCAAGCATGTGGCCCTGAGTTCAAACCCCAGTGCCACCAAATATATATATATATATATATATATATATATAAAAAAAAAACAGAATCACAAAGATAAAATGACAAATCTATAGCCATAGAGGAAGATTGTAAAATATTCTGCTATCCTTTGTTTCCTTAAATCCAAATCACTAATATATCCTCCAAAACCGTACAGATCAACAACAAAGCAAGTTAGCTCACACACTTGCCCATAAGGTGAGCATGATGGAAGACAGAAAGATAGAAAATACCATTGTTAAATAAAATTTATAGGAGGTGATTGGTTTGGACTGAGTTCTCACACTAAGCCCAAAAAAAACAAACCAAAATGGAGGTACATACTCCCAATGAATTCCATGCCACCAAGCCAAAAGTAAGTTGTTGAAATGACCTTTCAAGAAATCAGGAAAGAGACATAGTAGCCAAATCCCTAAACAAGCCAGTTTTAGTCAGCATGATAAGGAAGTCCTCTCTGCTTTAACCTTTACAAGGAAAATAAATAAAACAACCAATGCTCTTTTTGTTCTCCATTTCTTTTTGTTGTTGTTATTAAGTATAAATTTATTCTAACCTTTTGAGGTTTTCTTTGTTTTTTTGTTTATTCATATGTGTATACAATGTTTGGGTCATTTCTCCCCCCTCCCCTCCATCTCCACCCACCTCCTCGCTTCCAGGCAGAAACTGTTCTGCCCTTATCTCTAATTTTGTTGAAGCAAGTATAAACAATAATAAGAAGGACAAAGCATTTTTGCTAGTTGAGGTAAGGATAGCTCTACAGGGAGATTCCTAACATTGCTTCCATATACAAATGTGTTACATTCTAAGTTTATTCTTCTTGAACTGATCTTTTCTCAAGTTCCTGATCCCCTTCTCCTATTGGCCTCTGTCGCTTTAAAGTTTCTGCATTAGTTCCTTTGCATTGAGGACATCAAATGCTATCTTGTTTTTTGGGTTTCTTGCCTATCCTCATACCTCCCTTGTGTGCTTTCACCTTATCATGTGACCAAAGTCCAATCACATTGCTGTATTTGCCCTTGATCTAAAGTCTGCATATGAGGGAGAACATACGATTGTTGGCCTTCTGAGCCTGGCTAACTTCGCTCGGATTGTTCTCCATTTCTGCTAGCTTCAGCTTTCTCTGTCTATAAAACCACACTTCTCTGTGTAGCTCATTGGGACACTCATTGCATTTTGTAGGATATAGTGTTGCCTGGTTCTATAATTGCAAATAAATGCCAACTAGGATCTTTAAACTAAATTTGTTAAAATTTTTTCTTTTGACACTTCAATTTACACGTAAGTAGGCAGAACAATCCAAGTCAGTAGAGCCAGATCAAAGCCCATAGTAAAACAGAACCAGGCAGGGATTACATGGAACATGGCAGAGGGTAGCAGGTGCTTAGGGGATGGGCAGGATACAAAGGATATCATCTCCAGAAAAAGAATCCTTTGCAAACAGGTCTGAGATTAGAAAATATGAGCCATGGTTTTCCAAGTGTGAAAGACCAGAATGGCAGTTTGGGAAGACTTTGCTTCTGGGAAAGAGGGTGGGGCAAAAAGGAAGGTAAAGTAAAATAAGAGATCAAATACCAGAAACTAAGGATCTTAGAGCAACAAGACAGTATCACAATGTTAGTAGACTGGCCTCCCTCCCACTTCTCACCCTACCTGTGTCATTAATTAAACTTGACATCAGTGTTTTAACAGAAGAGGGCACTCTTGAACTAGGATATTGAAAAAAATTCCCAGCTGTCTCATTTCCCTAGGTAGAATTATCCATGATTGCTGCTAGTCCAGGAAAATCTAACATACTTAAACAGAAATAGGTATATTATTATGAGAAGAACATACTTAAACAGAAATAGGTATATTATTATGAGAAGAACAATGAATGAGAATCAAAATTCATGAAAATTTTTCCCAAAAATATTCCCAACCAGTGACAGAAGCCCTCTACAGTCTTTCTATTTAATGATGAACCACAGAGTCTATAAATGCAATTTAAAAATAAGCATAATAATTAGAATGGGGGAAACAAAAATTTCCATCTTCTGCAGATGAAAAGATTGTCTAAATTTTTAAAAACCCAAGACAAGCTACAAAGCTTAACAAGCAAGTAAGTTTCAACAAGATTGTTGGATACAAGATGATTATATAAAACAGTATGCCCATACACCAATGCCAGAAACTAGAAAATAAGATTAAAGTGGAAAAATCATCACAATTGTAACAAAATCTCTAAGTTTCATATAAGAATCCACTCAACAGAAGATACACAGGGCATTTACAAAAAGTTATAAAATTTGTTGAAGGACATAAAATAATTCTGTTATTTGTGGGTGAGATGGCCCAATATCATGATAGAAATTATTCTAGCTGACAAATTTAATGCACTGCCAATCCCAATACAAACAAGGTGTTTCACAGAACGTGAAAAACAGCCCTAACAGTCATAGAACTCCATAAAATGTCAAGGAGAGTTGACTTTCAAAACAAAGAATACAGTGGTTACACTTACTCTAAAATATGTCAAGCATTAACATAAAGTTTAAGTAATTAAGACAATGTTGATTGGTGCAGGAATACGCAAATACAGCAAAAGAATAGAATATAGAGCTCAGAAATAAACCTGCTCATGAGAAATTGGTGTATAATGAAAATGGCTTTATAAATTAGTGAGAAAAGAGTAAACCAAATGGTGTTGGAATAACTAGCTAGCCTTATTTAAATATTTACATATATATATATATTTTGTCACTTGAAAGGTGGAGTTCGGGAGGATCATACATAGTTCAAGGCTAGCCTGAACTTGGATGGAGTTGGTAAGACTCCATCTTAATCAATAAGCCGGGCGTGGTGGCCAGCCTTTATCATCCAAGCTAAATGGGAGGTCACAGGCAAGAGCATG